ATTTTTTTTTTTTATAAAAAAAAAGTCAATTTTAATGTTTTATTTAGATTACAAAAATAAATCGTAATAGAAATAATCCTATTTATGATGTTTTAAAAATTAAGACCTACAGAAGACTGATTTAAGACCAATTAAGGCCTACAAGTATCAATCTGGCTAAAGCCACATCAGTCTGGAAAGGCTCCTCTGGAAATTGTTTGCATAAACGAAAGACTTTGAATACAATTCTTTGAGCTGATTGGGTAAATCACCAAGTGGCAAATGCCTCACATGTTGAGCTTTTGACCAATCACAGCAGCAACAATTCTTAACAGATAACCCACGTCCTGAAGCTTTCTCCAGCTAAATGTGGGCCAGGACCTAGCTTAACTGAGTGACAAGATAAGATCAGCTCATGCTACTTGCCCTATAACAGGCCACACATAGAAACAGACACGTCATTTAGAAATATCCGTTTTTAAATTTCAAATCTTACTCTATTACCTACTATTATAAATAGTTTGTTATGTGCTGTGAAGATTCTCAGTTATCCAGATCATGGTCGTTCAAAAAAAACTGGACTTTGTGTTGGGTAGGTTTCAAACTTGGAAACATAGTGCAGTGGATTGTTTTTAATGTTCTTTTTTATGGAACAGTTTGTTGTGACAACTTAGAGGAAGACGGAAAGACGGATGACTGCTTTTTTTTTGTTGAAATGAAAGTAATTAGTTGATGTTGGGGTTTATATCCATGCCCAAATACCACCGTATGCATCTTGAGCAATCACTTAAAAAGATGATTATAGCAGCCCCATATCTAGTCAGTAATTGACAATGAATGAGCTCCAAAGAGCCTGCTCTGCCTTGAGATGACAGGATCAGCCAAAGGGGGGGACTCCATCCTCCAGGGGAGAGTAAGCTGCTACTCTTTGACGACTGCCCTCTGAGATTTATACCTTACTTACACAGAAAATCATGGCTTCTTCTGCCCCGAGATCCAACGATCAGCTGTTGCCCACTGTTCCTTTTGACAGAACTAGGGAAGAAAGCCTTTAGCTATTCAGCTCCTTGTGCGTGGATTTTTCTTTTATAATTAAACTTTTTATCTTTAAATGCTTTAAAGCTGAAAGTGAAAGAATCTGAAGCAAACAAAATGATCTGTAATTGTTTTACTCTATATGTTTTTTATGTACCTGTCATTTAATTGAATGTATCTGTTTCTTTTGTAACTTTGCTGCCTCTTGGCCAGGACATCCCTTGAAAAAGAGTTTTTTTTATCTCAATTTCTTCCTCCCCTGGTTAAATAAAAAATAAATACTCCTCAAAAGCAGTCATGTGGGACGAATATGGCATCTGATCATGAAGGCTTCATGGGGATTCTCCTCCAAATGTTCCTTTAGCTATGTCCATATGCTCTGGATGCTGTTCAGAAGGACAGGGGTTTCTGGAACCTGCTTCATTATTAGGCAACATGAAGACAGAGATGATGGATGGACTTTTGGATTGATCATTAATCCACATATGAACATATTGCTCACTAAATACTTTACTTTAACAAGCATATTGCCCTAAAAATGTGTTTAGTATCAGAGTTGTAACATCTAGTAGCCAATTCTGCTATTTAGGATCAAAACAACAAACCAGTTGGTGTGGCACTAAAAACCTAAGCAGAGAAATATTATTTACAGATACGAAATACTTTTTTTTTAGCGTCATAGTCAACCGTGTGACAGAACCCTCATGCTGATTACAACATATTCTAGTGCGAACAAAGATGAGCTCATCCAACAGCTACCTGCTATTAGCTAGCCAACCAGCAACAACAAAAAGGCTCACTTTCTTTGTCATTTAACGCTGTCAGTTTGCTAAACTTTCTTAAAAACGTATACAAAACATACCTGGAAATGTTCACTTAAGTTAAATCAAGGTTCACTAAAAACTGCATCTAATTAAAACGCCTTCAACGGGAGAAAGATGCTAGCTAACTCACATTAGCTATGATCCAAGGTAGCGCTGATTCTTGCTATGTTCTTAGCAGAATAAAGACTCATCTTACCTTGACTTCCCAACGCCACTCTCTCCAATTATCAAAATCTTCAGCGTCGTTAAGACGTCGTCTTCCATTTCCTTTAAATGTGACTTTTTCTGTCTCTTAAAATTCCAATAACCGAGAATTTGGCTCCTTGTTGCAGCTAAACAGCACAGATGGGTTTGACTCGGTAGGATGTCTCACTCCAACTATATCCGGCGTGACATGTTGGCACTTCCGGTTGTCAAAATTTGATTTATTTATTTATTTATTTATTTTTTTTTTTTTTTTTTACTTTATTGAAAAGTTGCAAATTACAAAATATTAACATAACATATCTCAAGAAATAGAACAGTATCTCCAGAATCAGTGTTCAATGATGGAGTGCAATTACAGTTAAAATATGACATACTTTAACTTAACCCCTAGAACCCTACGGACCCACCGGTGGGTCAAGCTGCTACGTGACCTCGTAATTTTAACAAACCCCCAGTATTGATGTAAAAAACACATTTGGCACAGTTTGGTGACATTTTTGGATAAATGTGCCAAAATGGCCTCTCCGCCTAAGAAATTTCTCACTAATACCATTCTAAAATAAATATGATTCATCTGATTG